CGTCCGCCGCGGGAGGGGGGTACGTGGCCTGACCTGGCCCCTGGCGTCCCTGAGCCGGGCCGGGCCTGTGTCTCCCTCGGTGTCCACCGGGGCTGAGGGATCAGCGGTGGTGGCGCCATCCCGCTGCGGTGCGTCGCTTCCCGGGTACCCCGGGCCTGGCTTGAGGTGCCGTGCGGGGCCTCGGGGAGGCAGCGAAGAACTGTGCACCCCCTCAAACCTGGCGTTTTCGATAACGGGGCGGATGGGGAAATAAAGGAGGGAGCCCCAAATTCTGCTTCTCACAGCAATGAGCCGACTGACTTTTTCCTCGTGTGGGAAGGGGTGGGGAGAGGAGTTTTGAAGGTTGAATCTTGCTCCGCATCTCGGTGCTGGCTGCGTTTGTCAGCCCGCGGTGCTTGTGGTCGGAGTTAGATTAAAGCCCTGGTCCAGCATCGAGCCCCCCGCAGCAGCAGCTCCCAACAGAGGGGAACCGTAACGAGGTGGTGAATAGGGGGCGGTGCTCCCTCATGGGCTCTTCCGGAGTCCGCCAGGCCTTTCCTGGGGCAAGGTGGTTACCTCACAGCAGGTCTGTGGAAACAAATACCACTCGCGGGTTTTGAACCTGCCGGCTGCTCGTCCTGTTTGAAGTCTTGTGCTTGAAGAGGCGCGAGACAGTCTACCTCGGCAGCCTTTCTTCTGCAGCCTCTGAATTTATAAGCTTTTAGCCTACCTCCTCTCAACTTCACCAGCCTGGAAGACTGCAAAATGTTTGGTCTCTGCTTATTTAAAAGCCATTCCCTACCTGTAGGTCATCACCTTTCTGAGCTATGTGTGTCTTTTCTGAGATCGTGGGCACCAAAGGTCACACATACAGTGCTGCAGGTTGCATGGCCGTGCTCTGAATATCCAGTTGTGTGGTTTTAAAATTTCCAGGCTGCTTACAATGGTTTTATTCTTTTGACTGCTCTTTTTAACAGAGGAATTGCTTCGGATTTGTGTGTTGTTCCTTTCGCTGAACTAAGCACAATGATAGTGGGTTTCTTGTATCTGTCGTTTGAATGTACGAGTTGAGTCGGCTGCCTTACAGTTGCTGTGACAGAACAGCTCTTCTGCAGTAACATTTCGTACTAGGCCTTATAAACTTGTCAGGGTCAGGCCTTAACTTTTCCTGTTACATGTTCCTTGACTTCCTAAAGTGTTCATTAACTGTGGTTAAAAGCACAGATGCGATATTGTGCTTCTGTGTGACATCTACCCTGTCCACATGGGGAGAAGTGAAATCTCTTTGGTTTTACTCTTATTTTTCTGTTGGTCCTCATTGTATTGCAGGCATTATGATACACTTACCATGCTGTTTAGAAGGGTAGTGGTTTCTAACACATTGTAACTTTTCTATTTTGTAATGAAAATCAGAAATTAGCATCATTACAAAAGACTTCGTAATATCATAACCTACCACCCAAAACCTGCTAACAGAGCAGCCCCTCCAGCACCACTCCCAGAAGCAACAGACCTCACAACACCAGTAAGAAACAGTGGTAAAGCTGCCTATAACTTCGACAGCAATGCCAAATAGCCAAGTTCCACTCAGTATCCATGCTACCCACATCACAGACACAATGAGTGCTCATAGGGAGTCAAATCAATTAAAGTCTCAACCTTTTGAAACTCTCAAATTCAAGGTCTGCAATTCTCCCAGGTTAAATATTTAATTTGTACCCCAAACAAACATTGGGCAACAAATTAACGGTTTTCATTTAGCCCGTACCAGCGTCTGAACTGTAGCAGTGATTCTATCACCCAATAACCACCCCAGTTGAGAAGGGAATCAGGATAAGGAGAGGAGATCCAAAGGGTGAAGCAAGGACAGATTTAATGAGACAGCAAAACAAATAAATGATACAAACTTATACTCAGCCTAGAAAGTCTGGCCCTCACAATCTGCAGGAACAGGAGAAACCCCAGCCAGAACTCCCCCAGGAGCTCCCCTTCCCTAGCAAACCTTCCCCCTTTATAATGACCATGACATGATGGGATGGGCTACCCCTGTAGCTCACTCAGGTCAGCTGCCCTGACTGATTCCAAACTGCTGACAGCCTGCCTGCCATGGCTGGGCTGGGATTCTGTCCCAGCCAAACCTGGACAATAAAACGTTTAGGGAACTTCATTGCTGTGTGCAGTGTTTTTGGCCAAGAGTTTTTGGGTTTGACCACCTACTGGCTCAGGTTTCATGGTAGCACTCAGCCACATTTTAAAAATGAGGTAGACACAAGTCCTGTTGCCAACATGCTGTCAGATCAGTGGTTGGTTTTCCACGAAGAAGTAACTGCAATTGTGAGATCACCTCAGTCATTCTGTGGGATTCTGCAGTTATTGTAAAATACCCATTTAATGTCCTAAAAAAAGATACCTTCAAAATGTGAAAACTGAAGTCATTTGTAGGGCTCATAAATAACACATATTTCTACCAGTTTTCAAATGCTTGCTTAATTCTTTTTGGGAGTCCAATTCTTTAAAGAATTCACAAGTCCAGGCTGTTTTTTAAATGCTAGTTTATTATGCTTCTGAAGAAAAACTTTCCAAAAGTAAGGCATATGGGGTTTTTTTGGTGATTTTTTTTTTCCCCCTGTAGTGTAGGCATCCTAGGACAGCAGCTCAGAAGCATGTTATGTCACATTGTCTGAAATGTTAAAACTGAACTTTGGTAGTTTTGGTTGTAATATGGACTGTTGTAGTACTATTAGATTTAGTAAATATCAAGGTACATTATTTGGGGCATTTTGTTAGATTCTAAAAAGAAGGTCATTAATTCCATTACAGTTTCTTTTTATTCAAAGGCTGCTAATGTTGGGAATAAGGCTTTGAAACTCCTACCCATGAAACTGAAAATTACCTTTGTCTGGGATCAAAAGTTAAGTCTAAAAAAGATAACATTCTTCTAGCATTAAAACTTCAGCTGCATCTGAAATATCAAAAAAAGACACTTTTGATGTGTTTTGTATGATAAAAGTGACAAATGACCTCTAATTCCAATATAACGAATACTGAACTTTCCAATTTTCTTCAAGTATGATGAATACAATGAAAATGTAGTATTTTAGTATTCAAATTTCCTTGTTATGGATGGAATAAACCTCCCCCTGATTTGGGAGGTGGTGTTCTCACTTTCCCTCTGTTGAAGTTGATGTAAACAAACAAGGACATTTTAGGAAGTCCCATTTCAGACTGAAGTGTATGTAAACCTTCAAAATATAGGCAATATAGGGGTGTGCAGATACAATTTGGGAAGAAAACTGTATTTTATTACCTACAGAGAATAATTACAAAGAATAAAAGCTACATCAGGTCTGAGCTACGATAGGGACTTTATAGCTGGGCTTTGCAGAAGGAATTAAAGCAACATCTGGAAATTTCCTGTGCCTTTTAACCATGTAATCTTTCACCAGACAGCTTGAAGATTTTCAGTAAGGATCTGCTGCATTAATGCTTTACTATTCCTACTGTGACTTAAACACAGACTGAAGAGAAATTTAAGTATATATGGAAAAAATAAAAATCATTGTCCACAGTCATGCATGTGTCCCCCTGTTATGAAGTTTGGATAATCTGAACTATGGAGGAAACCTAAGAAGTTAAGCTTAAGAAATCTGACCGGGAAAAATTAGAATATTATCTCTACAAAAATGAACAGATATGGTGATGTAATAGAATAAGAATTTAAAAGATGGGACTTACAAGAGTCAAAGCTAGATTCTTTTGTGAGTGAATTCTAGGACTAACCAGCAAGTTCTCCCCAAGGATAGCTAGGGGAACTCTATCAGGACAGGATTTAGAGGTGGTGACACTTCCTTCATATTTCAAGCACTGATACAGTAACTTTGGAAGGTGTGGCTGGGAGGGATGTGACAACACGGAAACTAGCAGTCTCATTGAAAGGTGACTGCAAATGCTAAACACATTAATGAACATACTCTGAAATGTAATTAACAGTAGTGTTACAGTCATGCCCTGAGCAATATTTGAGTACAGTAAAATTGCATTATTAAAACAGAAGCATCAGAAACTGCAGCTTAGGTTGTGGGTATGTCTTATGTTATGTTTATAAACTTATAAAATATGATGAAAATACTTTGCTTCTTTCAGTTCTTTACCAGAAGATTTTAAAAACTAAAGGAAGATGGCTTTTTTCCCTAAAATCTCTTTCCAATGTGAAGTTGAAGAGTATCTTACCAAAATGTTCAGAAATAATGAGGTATGTGAAATAGATAGTACTAATCATCAACAAATATTCACAAATTGAACACTATTAATATTCCTTTGATTTAATATTTTGTGTGACTTTAATACCTTACAATAAAGTATTGTCCTCACATTAGACATGGATTTTTATATATAGTTCTATTTAAAATATAAAATTATTCTTTATGCCTGTTTGCTCAAAGTAACATAAAAATATTTAAAATAAACAGCATAAATCTGAGATTTATAGTTTTGGATCCCACTGAAGAATGATCAGAGAGAAAATTAACTATTTATTAACCACATAATACTGACAAGAAATACTCTCTTCCCCAGTGTTGAACCAAAAATGCTATAGACAATCTAGAAATTCCTAATGTCAAAGCACACAAAAATGACATTTTCGTGTATCGGGATAAGAGTTATTTATTCATAGTTTTGAATCTACTCTTCCATCTTAGGACTGTTCTTTGTACAGTATCTCAGAGCTCACTAGCATTTACTTTTGGTACTTGCTGCAGCCTGTTTACGATGGTCTTGCCAACGTGACTGTTTTTCTGACAAGTCCTTTTCAAGAAATTTATGAGGTTTGCACTGGAATTAGGCCTCCAGACATAGACATTCCTCACTATTGCACACCACACAACCATATTCCTCCATTTCTGCAGAATGTTTATTCAGTGTGGGGTTTTTTTCAGAGCAAGAGGCTGCTGTGTGAATCTCTTTAATATAAAATCTCTTCTTTCACTTTCAGCTTATTGCTGCTTTAGGTACCCAGGAGGCAGAGAGTAAATATCAGTCTCTGTTAAGTCACCTATCTCATCCACCAGGTTTCACAACTGTTAGAGTTAACACCCACTTGGCCTCAGTGAAACAGGTGAAAAAATTGCTGTTTGAAGAGATCCAGAAGGTTTGTGCAATTTCTTTGTTACAGCAAAAATAACAGGATATTTCATCTTTTGCCTGATTATGACAGCTTTTCACTACTGGAAACTATTCCTTAACTTAATACATGACCACTAGTATTAACATTATGTAATCATATTGATTTCCTGTCAGCATTAAATGTTAAATGAAAATTCATTGTCTAGCAGTATTTCTCATCTAATACATCCAAGAAAGGCAGTAACAGAGGGAAAAGACAACCGACTTGTTTTCAAATGGCAGATCCAGCCCTCAGATAGGCTTGGGGTACTACTGTAGTAAATACTTTAAAGGCATCATAAGTCTAGAGAAGATGGTAGAAAGAGATAAAAACTGTAGTTCAGTACGTTGTGTTCCACATGGTGACAAGATTTTCATTTAAGATTAAAGGAGAATGGCTCTATGTCTCATTGCACAAACTGTTCAGGAGAGTGAAAAATCTGTATGTCTTAGAAACAGGATCCAGTGGTGCCCTGCAGCTGGTGTATTTTGGGTTTTTAACCTGGTTTTGATCTTTATATAATTTTCTGTATTTTTACTTACCTTAATTAAACATTTATTTATCTGATAATATATAAGCCATTATGTTTAAGGAGTAGATTATTTTGAAACTCAATCCTAAATCTTCACGCTGTCTAAAAAGACGCAGTTCCTCTAAGTAAATTATTAATGCTAGTGGGTGTACAGGGAGCTATTGCATATCTGGAGCCAAGACATTTCTGTGATGCAGAGGCAGTTGACAGTATTCTGCTGGCTGGAATGGTAATGAGTTATGCTAATTTTAGCTTGATTATAGAAATCTGGAAATGGGTATTGCAGTATGATATTTTGCTTCAAGGGAAAATGCTTTGCTGAAAACTGAATTAAGCCTGGCTTGTCATAACCTTTTTGTATTTGAATTGTGGTCATATTAGAAAAGGAAACCACATAATAGTTTGTAACAAAAGTATGCTCATGGATGGTTTTCTGTCTTAAGAGAAAATACTTATTTATCAGATGTGAGCTAATCTACGGTTTTGCATGTTTTCAGGTTATAATTTAGAAGGCTCAAGTGAGAAGACATTGTCTTTTTAAAGTCCAGGAACAGTTTTTAAATGGCAACCTGTCTTTTTTTTTTTTTTTAACTGTATGCACAACTCAGCTCTCAGTGCCCAATCAAAGTTAATCTGAAAGGAAAAATAAAAAGTGTTACCAACTTGCCATATTAAGTAAGACAGGCAATACATGAGTAGAGTTGTCCAGGGGTTTATAATTGGTAACATAAAAAAGATAACACAGATTAGACCCAAGCTTCTCTGGTGGCAACTCGACACAACGTTCTTCCAGAAGAAATGGAAGTGGCCGGTTTGTGAGTGACAGAACACTGTCCCACTCCCTGAAGTCAGTTTTCAGTGAATCCCTTTGTGGCCTTCTAATTTCTCAATTTATTAACTGTTTAGTCTTTCACACCAGTATTTTTAATATAGAATCTCTCCTTGCACACTATTTCCCAACCTCTCTTAACTGTTTTCACTACATTTGTTTTTTGTACTCTACAGCTATAAATTATGAATGGAAAAATAGTTTTAAGTCTAATTAAGTACTTTAATATTAGGGTTTTTTAGTATTGCTTAATAAATATATTTTTTTAATGGAACAGCAATTTAAAGGACTACGCGTTCCAGTTCTTGAGCACCCGAAACTCCAGGACATCTTATTAATTCCTGTCATTGGACCCAGGTTTGAAGTTTTCAGTTTTTAGCCTTAAAATGTCATAGCATGTTTTACTTACAGATTTCTTGTAAAACAGTTATGATAACTAATTCACTATAAATGAAGCACAATGTCATTTATATTAAGATCTAGTGGACTGTCCATATCCTAACCAGGACAGAGTTTTTGTCATTAAAAGATGTAAGAAAACAGAGAGAGAGTTCTCTCCTTATTTATGAGATTAACTTCTATGGGGAAAATGTAACATAATTACATCCTCCCTGGAAAGCCAGACAGAACTAAGCTGTTGCAGTGGAATTTAGAACTATAGCTAAATACAGGCAGTTTTCTTCCACTGGAATCAAGTCCAGAGCAAGACTTAGGGAGACTGGATCAGTAATGCTGAGGTGATTCTTGAATCAATTTTATTGCCTACAAAAGGACTATTCATTCTTCATTCCTAAGATATGTTTGGATATTTCCCATGCTGCACCTGTGTCTGCCCCATGGAGTTTCTTCATTGTTTTATTGAATTCACTGATGGACGTTTTATTTAGAATATCTTGTTCATAATGAAGACTAACATACCTCAGATTCAGTTTATATTGTGATTAGGTAGAGACTGGTAACAAGTAGTACTAGTGTGCAAATGCTGTACTCTCTAAAATGGCATTTAATGCTTTGATTTAGTCTTCATTCATTCAGTTCTCTTCTGTAGCATCTTTTTCTGACCATTCCATTCTTTTTATATTCAAATATGTTTACACTTTAATATTAAAGTTCATGTAACTATCTTCACAGTTCTTACTGGCAAAGTTCCTTGCACCTGGTTATACATTTATTACAGAAGTTACTTAGCAGTTGTAAAACACAAAAATTCACTTTACAATCATCTGGTCTAGGAATGGATAGAGGATTATTTCTCCATCATGGTATAATTTATTTGTATTCCTGTGCCATGTTCATCATAGTGGCAGAATGTGTCAGAACCTGCTCTGTTTTGAGGATTGGTTTCCTTCTTAGCTCCGTCCTTTGATTCCTCTGGGACTAAAATAAATCTTTTAAATGTAATACATGATAGTTAACATTTTTTTTCTATTACATTATGACAAAAACAATATTTATGAACTCAAGTTTACTTGGGGGATATTTGGGTTTTTTTAGTATACTTTTTATTCTTTTTTAAAACTAAACTACATTTTGTATTTTTAGGCAAGATTTAAAAAAGCATGCATCTGAAGTCATTGTTGGAGCCCACTGTGGATATGCAGTACTTCGAGGAGCACATGTTTATGTCCCTGGAATTATATCTACCTCAAGATGTAAGAGTTCTCTAAATACACCCAGTTAAGTTGTACAGTGGATGGAAAAAATGTCACCCCTTGATGACAATATCCAGTAAATAGCGACATTGATATTTTTTTCATTCACAGCTGAAATTAATCTTATACTTGTAATTTCTGGCACATGCTTTAAGTTTTTCTGGGGTTTTTTTTGTAGATTTTCACTGTTCTTGCATATACTTGTAATAAGTTATATGTAATTATTTCTCACCTGGCCTGTTTTAAGTTCCTTTTACCATATGTAATTCCTAGCTGAAGTGTAAGTTCTCAGGGATTTCACTTTCTTGTTTTCATTTGAAAATCTTTTTAAAGAGCCTATTCTGGCTTTTAAAGAGTTTTTTTGCTACTGAATACTATAACTTTTAATATGGATGTTCAGTAGAATAAACTCACAAAAGTTTGTCGCTTTCCAGTCTTGTCAAAAAAACCTCAACGAAGAATAAAAGGAATGCCACAACAGACACATCTGGATGGTAACTGGATGTAGGTTGATTATTTAGTAGCTACTATTTCCAGAGATGTTAGTTCTTCATTCAGTCACAAAAGCACTTGCCTTCATGATCCTGTCAGATTCTTCAGTTACAGATCTAAAAAAGCAGATTTTCTTTTCTTAATCCATTGACAGTTCATTTGATATTGC